TTTAAAAGTTCATGTATTGTTTTCATAGTAGTTGACGGAATTTGTATATTTTTTTTAGTTAGAAATATACCCCTACCTATTCTAGTTATGTAGTAAAAAGATGAAATGAATTACTTGAATATTCGATTATCTATAGGTATGACAATAGTGCCATGTTCACCAGAGTGCCATTTCTCTATAGTACATGATAAAAATCTAAAAATTTTATCTAATAAAGAGTAACTATAGGGGAGTATTCTCTGCAAGTTTCAAGTAAATTGATTGAACTTTCACTGAATTATGAATTTTTTAGTATATTGGACGGTTTTGTCAAAATCTATGTTTCCAGTAAAAAAATTATAACTCTACAATGGCTCAATGAAAATCAATGAAAATTTTACCAAACATAGTCAAAGTATAGGGCTATTTAATAAAAAAAACCGCGACTCTATAAGTCCTTCCTTTCTTGATTTATGAGGTCTACAATAATATACACTATTTTTGTTATAACTCCCTTATACTAAATGCAATCGGGGCGCCGGCTGTGTCGCTGAACTATATTCATTGAGTACTATGTACACACAAAGTTTCAGATGAATAGCACTTATAATGGCTAAGATACAGGGGGGTACCTACGTTTCGCCAGTACTGTATACCACTTAATTTATATTTGATTTGTATGTAATAAAGAACTAATAAAATAAAATAATAGTTACCTTTTTATCTATGTTTTTTTTATTTAATAATGATAGAACATATGATTAAATTCAAGTAAACTATACGAATTAAAAGTACCATGTTGTATGTATAAGCTATTGATCGTCTTTTAGATATTAACAATTCATATTTGACACACAACGTAATATTCTTCTGCGTATTCATCATTGTTTTTCAATACAAGAAGGTATTAAGAGATCAGCCAATAAATTATCAGTGTTACGACATCACATTTAATCAGTAAGTTCAAAAAGATACTGAGTTCTATATATTTTTGTACAGCTTGGAAAACATTGATAGCATGTAGTAAAAAATAAGACATTTATTTCTGTTTTCTGACTATCTATGTAAAAAAAGGATCAACAAATCAGATTAAAGTCGAATAAAAATGATGCCCTTTTAACTGATTTTTAATTAGAAAAAAAATCGGTTTATGACGCATCTTGAGAGTGTGGGTGAATGATTATTTGTTCCATAATTACTCAGACTTACACCCACGGCCCTCCGTCTAACATACTGCTAATTTGATGGATGAAACAGACGAGGACAATGTCGTCGTCAAAGAACTATAGCTCATTTTGTTTCTAAGTAGTCTGCTCATTATAGGAAATCAGTAATCAATCAGCATAAAAAATGACATTCATAAGAGGCATACGCTTTGTGGATAGTTATACCTCAAAACGGCTACAAGATGATTGGAATCCAATATCTGGTTATAAAGATCGGGCTCTTAAGTCATTAGAAGAAGCTGTAAAAAGTATTGTTCCATTCGTCGACAAAGTCGTGCAGTATGTAGAGGAAGCTAAACAAAAATGTAAAAAAAATACAAAACTAACAACAAATGAATCGGCATCAATCTATCTTTACACAATGATTACACCTTTCTATGAGAAATTTAACGAAGCTCTTCGAGACGAAAATCCACCCGCGGTGGTACCATGGTTTGATTTTCTAAAACTGTTCACTACCGCTCTGTCGAAATTACCGTCGCGTCCAACTACGGTCTGGCGAGGTGTTGCAAACATTAGTGGCTCCGATTACTATGAAAATGATATATTCACTTGGTGGGGTGTAAGTTCATGTTCGTTAGATGCCAATGTTGGTGCATTCTTTATAGGGGAGAAGGGCATTTTGTTTTGCATTAATACTATTAATGGCAAAGATATTAGTGATTACTCATCAGCCGTGGACGGCGAGGCATGGGAGAAGGAAATCGTTCTTATGCCTGGAACTCGTTTGTGCGTCAAATCGAGAACGCTTAATGATAAAGGTTTAGACGTCGTTCATTTGGAAGAATGGTAAGCCTATTTGAAAAAACATAAGAAAATCTAACAAATCCATGTGTTAGTCGTGAAATTCATTAAATACGGCAGTCTTTGACTCAGTGTAAGGGATATAAAACCAGATTTCTTGGGATCCAAAAATTGTGAGATTAAAATTCTCATATTTTCAAAACCTTCAATGTGATTGGTTTTTCAAAAGATATGTCTTAAAATTGTATATAGTCTATGCATTTAGTATCTATTTACAAAATGTCAAAATGTAAGCCTGCGCGAAAAATACTACAAATCTTTAAGATCTTCGGCTTCTCAGCCAAAAGCACTATTTTTGAGTCAGTTTCATACCAAAGTGCGAAATATTCATGTTCATTAAACTGAGATTTCTAGAAGACTAAAACCGTTACATTCTACAGAGATTTCATACTCCTGTTATCCAAGTATATCAAAACCACACCTGAACATACTCAACCTCTTAGATCGCCAGATTTTTCCATCTCATGTCTGTCATGTGTAGACAAGAAGTTTCGAATGAGGACTGAAAAGTCTTTGATTTGTTGTATTTCAAACAGAGTGATAGGCGAACATTCTTTTGTTGTTTTACACAACCTGGTTTTCCTTGAAGCAGCATTAGGATCTTGAAAGATATGCTCATGCAGATCGCTCCCCAGCCCTCATAACTTTATCGACTTCTTTATAACAGCTTTATCGTCGCTTTTCCATTTCTACTGTCAAATCGAAGTCTCAGATTGGTGCAAAATAAGTCAAAAATTAAACGTTTGAATACCGAGGATAATTTCTTCACTACAAGGTATTATGTTTATCATAGTTTTGTCTTCTTCCCTTCTCAATAGCGTAGTAAATACGTCGTAAAAAAGACAGCATTCATTGGAGAATATGAGTAAAATTGAAATAATTTGCAGCATTATGGAATTCAACTAGCCTGAATCTTGCGATCATCGAAATACACTTAGGTCTAGTTAATCGAGAACATTAACATTGTCGTACATCTTCACGTAGTTCAGGCGTTTCAAAATGTAGTAGTATCCTCGTATCAATGACTATGCCATAATAGCTTTCTCTCCAGTTACCATTTATCTATTCCGTAGCATTGAATCTATAACTTCTAGCACTTCGATTCCTGAAGGAAAACATGTTATGATATCCTATGATTCGACTAGTCAAGAAATTGTATCCAAAATTTCTCATTACCTACAACTCGAACATATACCACTTTGGCTCAATGAGCAAAAAGAAACGACGAACGATCTAAAGAAAAGGTATAATTGTTTGTATTATTTTACTTTCTCTAAACACTACACTTATACTGTTCTTTTTCGCAGTTTGGCTGAAGGAGTAGAAAATGCTGCAGTCGTTTGCTGCTTCATGACTTCAAATTATGAAAAATCTGACTTTTGTCAATTTGAATTACAGTATGCACAGAAGCGGCAAAAACGAATCATCCCATGTATACTCACCGATACAAAAGTATGGAAGCCTTCTGATTGGTTAGAACTAATAACTAAAGACCTCGCATCGATCGATTTTCACAATGCCTCTGAGCAATCAGCCATAGAAGAAAACGTGGAGGAACTGATTTATCGAATAAAATACCAACCTTCAACGTCTCACTATATACCGTCACACGTAGCCGATAAACCAAGTTATCTATTTGAGCTGATTAAATATAGATATAAGGGACATAGTTGTATTGAACGTTTCATGAATCCAGCCAAATCTTTTCCGATTGACCAAAGTTACATCAATTTGGCCATAGTAGAAACCAAAGAGCAGCAAGAAAAAGAAAAGAAGCTTCGTGATTCTCAGCCCAACGATGCGATTATGGGTATCTATGAAGAAATTTACGGCACCAAGACTCCGATAGATGTCAAAGATATATTTAAAAAATGCAAGGATCAGACAAGAAATGTACTCGTATTTGGCCGAGCTGGTATTGGAAAATCAACATTTTGTCAATACATCGCTTACCGATGGGCAACTGGTATGATTTGGCAGGAATATGAACTGGTTGCCTTGATTCCGTTGCGTTCCTTGACAGCAGATCGCTATCCTATATTACCAGCCGGCACTAACTATTCTCTAATAGACGTTCTGAGAAAAGAATGCATTTCTTTCGATCAATATGTACCAGAAAAAGACGAAAAACAATTGCAAGAACAGATTCATAAAAGTCGCATTCTTTGGCTTTTAGATGGGTATGATGAAATCGTACAAAATGTACCTAAACATCTCAAAAGTTTATTTAATGATCAATTACTCAAGACTCCAGATCATATTGTAACATCTCGTCCATACATGAATACTTTATCGCATTCTGTACAATTGGAAATTACAGGTTTCACAGATGATAATATTTCTAAGTATGTCAAACAGTTCTTCAATCAAATCGGAAGCGAAACACAGAATTCATCTGTTGAAGATGAAAAAATACTAAGCTTTCTCAAACGTAATCCTAGGATTTGGGGTATTGCACACATTCCCATCAATCTAGAGCTCATTTGTAGTGTTTGGAGTAATATAGAGTGGACAACAATGAAAACAATGACAATAACGATGCTGTACGATACATTGACTGAATGGATATGTCGTCGATATCTGGAAAAACAACGAGCAATCTCAACTGATTTATTGTGTGAAAAGGAGGTTTATAAAAAATGTGAGAATGAATTGGCATTTTTAGAACGTCTGGCTTTCCTCGGGATGGAAAGTAACACTATAATGTTGGGTCCAACTCTACTTCAAAAAGCACAAGATGAGAGTAACTGCTCATTAGCCGAGAATCGAAACTTGCTCAATATTGGAATACTAAGATCACTCATAAACCATCATGGTGTTGGAACGCGAATCGAAGCAAAGAAAGATCATTACTTTGTACATCTTAGCTTCCAAGAATATTTTGCAGCACGATACTTGGTCACTGCTCTCAATGGCGAAGAACCTCACAAAATGATCGAATTTATCCAAGACCATAAATACGACCGACGCTTCGGATTAATGCTGAACTTTACATCGGGACTTCTGACAAACAGCTACATCACTAAATCCAACGCCATATTCTGGGACACAATCTCAAGAGAGCCATTAGATAAGATTGGCATAAGGCACATGCAAATTGTCATTTCTTGCTTAGAAGAGGCACATCATAATGAAAACTTTCCACACTATAAAGAATTAATGAATTCTATAATTAAGTGTGTCGAATATGCCGTCCATTTAGAGTCTGACGTGATACGCATTCACCTAAACGAGACCTTACGTAGAAGTCCCTCGATAGTAAACAAACTTGAATTAATCGAAATGTTCACTAAGCTTTTGCAAACCAACAATGGACATACATGGAAGAATGTCACCTCATTGATAATCGATATACCACTTAACAATCATCCGCCTCAGTTCATACAGTTGCTAGTGACCGCAGTAGGGAATCCCGATAATGGTATACGAGCGGGTGCATGTCAACTACTCGGTCAGCTGGATGGCAAAGCAGCAACGGCGGACGTCATCTCAGCGTTGGTGACAGCACTGGAGGGTACGAATAATTATGTTAGACGACAGGCATGTGAATCTCTCGGTCAGATGGGTGAAAAAGCAGCTACAAATGACGTGATTGCAGCCCTGATGACCGCACTAGGAAATACGCATGATATCGTCAGAAGTAAGGCATGTGAAGCTCTCGG